TTGTCAAAACATTGTTTTTATAATTGTCATTTTTTAAGCACTTATTTTTTGTCAAACATTATTTTTATTACGACATTCTTAAATATGTTATTGTTTGTCAAAATGTTATTAATATTGACATTTCTTAAATCATGTTATTAACAGTTTGTTTGTTTGTAATTAAGCACAAAACTACACAATGGGCTATCTGTGCTTTGGCCACCACGGGTATGAGACCCTGATTTTAGCGTAATAAGTCTGCAGACATATTAACAGTTTGTCAAAACATTGTTTTTATAATTGTCATTTTTTAAGCATGATATTATTTGTTAAAATATTAGTATTTATAATGTTTTTAAGCATATCTTTGTCAAAATTAATCTTTTTATGATGGGCATTTTTTCAAGCATACTACTGTTCATTAAAACACTAGTTTTAAACTAGACATTTTTAAGCATGATACTGTTTGTCAAAATGTTTTTTAATGGATATTTTTTAAACATGCCATTATTTGTCAAAACACAGTTATTATAATTATGTTTTAAGGGTGATATATTTGTTAAAGCTACAGTTTTATAATGGGGGGGGGGGTTTAAAGGTGATAGTGTTTGTGAAAATAGTTTCTGTTATGGATATTCACTCAGCAGAGTACTGTTTGTGAAAATACTGCCTTAATGTAATATATATATTTTTTTTCTTCTTGCAACATTTCTTTGTTCATGAAAGTGTCAGTAAGTATACATTTTGATCAACATGAAATTAATAGTTTAGGAATAACACAATTTTATTCACATTACAAGTATTTTATCATTTTTTAAACCCAGGGTACTAACAGAACACCAAAAGAAGTGATGATGTATATACTGTTCTGTATTAGAAACAAGACTGCCTAAAAATGAAGACAAGTAGGTTTCCTAGAACTACTCTATAGTACTAAGCATTTAAACAAACAAATTACAACACTTGATGTAAGAAAGTTAGTTATGACTAGGCAACCAGAAAAACAAATTTAAATAAGCTGGTTTGATCATATTCTTACTAATATACCATATCAAATACATAATGAATCTGTTGAGCTTTTGCTATTACAAGCTGATACCAGTGTTGTAGCATATATTCTTTAGTAAAGATCTCAGCAGCTAAGACCTTCATAGTACTAACTGTTTTAATATCACCAAACAAGATACACTGGAATTGATATATTAGGATAGAAGTTATAAACCTTGGATATTCTAGCTGAAACAGGACCTCTAGCAAACTTAGCTAGTGGCCTAACAGTTACTTCCTGCAGTGTATAAATAGTGCTGACAACCAGATTCAGCTAATGATCACTTTTAATGCTTTTAACACAGAATCAAACATCTACAAAAAACTGATGTGAAATATTGGGCAAAATTGCTTAATATCTTCTGAAGAACTTCAAATAGATACTCCAAACAGTTTAATTGCACAAGTTAAACAAATGTGTCTTAAAATACTACAAACATTTTTATACATGTTCTACAAAATTAAACAAATGTTTTAGAGTACTATTAACAGTTTTAGGGTACACAAAATTAAAAAATGTTTTTGAAATTCATAATTTTTTCATTTTTATTGAAGATTTACCAACACTCTTAGCTACAAGTGCTTTCAAAGCTGCCCAAATAAGTCCAACATTCTTGCAATACCATGACCTGAAAAGGAAAATCATCAATATTTGTACAACTAATTTCCTTAAAATGCCATAAAAATAACTATTAGCTAAAGTTCATGTTTATACATTTACATAATTGTACATGACATAAAAGGAATATACAAATGAAAAATATCTTTACAGCAGCTTAAAGTGATTTTTGGGTATTATAATACGAATTTGAAATAATTGTTGACAAAAAATAAAAGTTTGAAATATGATGATCTCGGTATAAAATCAGTAGACCCAGCAGTATACCAACATATGATAAATGATTTTATTTTGTACATCAGTATTTTTCTTATACAGAATTAAATAAAAGTAATTGAATATCTACTAAACCTGCTGTTTTCTTTTAAGCCCAATTCTGTAATACATACACCATAGCACATACTTTAAAGGGAATTTTAATCAACTTCCTAGGACACAACAGCATAGCTTTTTTAAATTGCATTTTTAAGATCCCATCACATGAGGCCATAAAAATGTACATAATCAAAGGAGACATATGACTATTAAATGTCCAAAATATTTTTCAACAGAAAGGAAGATGACATGCATAATGGCTCTTTATTCTTTATTATCTCACAGAAGTTTTATGGGAGATAGAAGAAGATGGCTTTTACAAAATGGTATTATGACCATATCAAAACTCTTTTCAAAAGTTCAGTATTCAACAATGATGACAGAAATGCTTAAAGTGATGTAAGATGGTACAAAAATACTGATTAGAAACTGTTATGTTGCCTCAAATGCACAGAAATGATACTAAAACAACTTTTTTTCATCAACTGTGTAGGTTTGTTCATAACATTCACTTCTTGTATAAATACAGGCTCAATGTGTTACAATAAAATATACTATTTTATATAAAACAAATGTAAATCTAGAAGTTGCCAGCATACCAATTGTACATCATATGTTTCTCATGATTCTCATCCAAAAACTTCTTGTAGAACTCTGACATTTCTTCAGATGTTAATGCTTGTCTTTCTTTTCCTTGTGCTCTAAGGTGAATCAATCTCTCTCTTATAAATTCTTCTCTTTGCTAAGAAAACAAAACTGTGAGAGAATGAATGCATAAAAAAGAAACATATGTTGCTGAATTATAAAAAATACCATAAAAAATGTTGTTGCAATCAAACAGTAGCGAAACTATCAAAAAACAAGTTTTAATTTTTAATGACAAACCATTTCTAGATGTCTAGTAAAGCATAAAGCAGATCTGGTATTTTAACCCATCAGCTACCACAATCTACATATGAGGTACAGAGTGCGAGTTTGACAGTCCTCATATGAGTTTCAGAATTCTGTGGCCTATAATTCAAATGAGTGTCAATTTTTTCATTTCAGCCATACAGAGTCCCATATGTCACATCGTGCCTTTTTCTGTCCACCCATGTTCCCCCCAGCACTCAGTTGCATCTCATATGTCATGGAGGGTACATACGTCTCTTCCTCTCATAGTAAGCCTATACTTTCAACTTCTCGCCATACTGGAAGAAAATTATTGCAAACAAAAGACAGCCTGTGAAAAGAAAGATAGAAAAACAGTTTATAAGCAGTAGTGAGGAAGATATTGATGATTCAGTGCCTCCACATGGTCATGACACCAAGCACCCACCACCACCATCTATGCCTCCAAAAAAACTAAAGGCTGGAAAAACTTTGATGCCTTCCAAGTGGATGCCCATGATTTTTGACTGTGATAGAGATGTTTCGTCCCAGAAATCAGAAGACAAGGATTGAGACTCGGATAGTGGGGAGAATGTTGGGTTCAGGATGTCAAAGTAAGTGGTGATGAGTTGTCAGGGGAGGAGGGTGGAAAGGAAGAGTTACTTGTTTCTTTTCTTCCACATGAGGCTACCCATGCACCCACCACTTGTGTGGACCGATGGTTATAATTTTCAGTCAGAGATTCATGATTTTGACAGGCAGCATTCAGGTGTGACTGAGGACTGGCCTCATGGTGATGATGCAAAAGAACTTAACTATTTTGAGGCCTTCTTTGACCAGGAATTGATGTCATTTATTGTCACAGAAACCAACAAATATTACATGTACATAGTGGATAACTTTATATTCATACCTAACTCCCACAATCATACATGGGTTGAGACGTGTGCAGGAATTGTATGTATTTTTTGGTCTACTTTTATTGATACCCATTATAAAGAAACACAGCTCCACCATTATTAGAAAATTGACCCATTGACCCAATTTTTGGAAAACACATGACCAGAAACAGGTTTCTCCTCCTCCTAAGGTTTTTACACTTTGCTGACAATAACCATCCATCTAAGAATGATCGCATATGGAACCTTAGACAAGTGTTTGCTGTGATAAATTCAAGATTCAGCAAATTCTTTTACCAATTCCGTAAGCTAGTGATCGATGAATCTCTAGTTTTGTTCAAAGATAGGCTTGTTTTCAAGCAGTATATGCCATCAAAATACTTGATTTGGAATAAAACTTTTTGTTTTATGCTGTTGTGAAACTGGAATTGTCTTAGATGCCTTTGTGTATACAGGTACTGACATTGACCCTCTTGGAGTATCTGATGCTGTGGTGAAGAAACTAATAGCAAAGTATATGGGAAAAGGGCATTTATTATCCACTGATAATTGGTATTCATCACTAGATTTGAGTAATTTCATGCATGCACAAAAACTTGGAGCATGTGGAAGCATAAGAAAAACCAAAAATACATGCCAAAGTTTACTGCACATGGTGAATGTGAGCAAAGAAAGTCAGGTAAAGTACTAGTGATGAACTGGCATAACAAACGTGATGTGACAGTGATCAGTACCTTTCACAAAGGTGAAATGCAAGACAGTGGCAAAGTGAACTATAAAACTAAGGAACCTATAATGAAACCAGAGGCAGTGATTGACTATACAGAAAACATGAGGCTTGTTGACAAAAATGATGCACAAATTGGAGGGTAGTGTGTGCGAGAAAAACACTGAAATGGTATCACAAACTCTTTATGCATATGCTTGATGTAACCATCCTCAATGCATATAATGTATACTTGGTCAAAAGTGGAAAAAAGAATAAAACTAAGAGAATTTAGTTACAATGTGATGTTTCAAATTCTTGACAAATATGGAACACTCGCTGTATCAGGCCAGGGACGACTCAGTGTGAATCTACCTGACAGACTCCCTGCCAAAGAATGGGCTAATCATCACTTTCTGACACACACAACGATGGATAGAGGACGCCATAAACAGGTGATATGTGTGTTTCAGTTAATCACTACAAAAGTGACAAAAGAAAAATGTATCTATAGTCTATAAGGAATGTAAGCTAGGGTTTTTGTTTTATTGCTTCAAGAAATACCACACCATGAATAAGTACTGAAATGTAATGAAGTAAAAACTGTACATAAAAATGTGAAAATGTATATACTGAAATGTAATTTGGTGAAGTAGAAATTGTGCACAGTAATGGGCAATTGTATATAATATTGAAGTGGAAATTGCACATAGAATAAATAATAGTGATAAGTCATGCTAAATGCTAGTAAATTGATATCAAGCACACAGGTCACCCATCTCTCCACCCTCCTCCTCCAATGCCGCCATATTCACGATCTCACCACAGCAAAACAAAGGAAGACAACCGATGTTTTTCTTCATAGCCCATTGCTCTGCATACTCTTCTTGAATTCTACAAGAACAAAATATGTTTTTAGCAATGTCATGTTTCACCATTTATTGTACACACAAGGATATCATTAAGTTTCATTTGCCGCATCTAATGGGTAAATTCTTCTATTACATAACTTGGCTACTGTTTCTTGTATTCGTGGTTACCTACTAACTGACAGACATTTAACACAAACTGAACTTCAGTAAAGAAATCAGATTAATGAAGACCAACAACCCAATGATACAAAAGTAGGTTGACTGCAAACAAATTCTTAAAAAGAGAAAATCAGACAGTGAAGCAGCAAACTTCTTGATAAAGACCATGATTTAGAATAATTCAATTTCTTTTTAAATTTTAGATCAAAAGGAATAGTTTTTCAAACTGTCAAAACTATATTGCTCATCCTCAAGTTATTGAATTACATGTTGACTTCACGATGATTTTGCATTAATTTCCATTGCAAGTACAATTGTACCCCACTTTATAGAAGTGAGGCTTAGAAAAAGGTGAACAAACTAAAGAAACATTCACATATAAAATTGCTTGGAATGCAACACCATATACATGGTAAATTTTAATGTGACACTTCCATAAACATTTTTATTACCTGTGAACTGGAAGATTACTTTTAAATTGAAACTGGAGGATAAGTTAATATAGCCAATGGCATGTCAGACTACACTTTTGAGTTGAAAATAGCATCTTAACATTATGTCAAGCAGAAAAGGACCTACTGACATAATGAGAAGGTTTAGCATGAAAGGAAATCAAAAAGTTGCTATTACTTTAAAAGATTTATGAACATTAATTCTAGTAGTGAAAAAGTTAAAATATGTACAGAACCAGTAGTTAGAAGTAAAAACAGCAAACAGTAGTAAAATGAAGAAGAATAAGATAGAGAATACTGAACAAGTTCATAACTACATGTCACTTCTAAAGTAGGCAACAAAGCATCCCAAAAGAAGAAAATGTTTGAACATGTATCTATTAAATTAGTTAAGGTTATAAGATACCTGAGAAATTTCAGATCATTACTGAAGCAAAATGAAGAAATAGTAATTGAACCAGTATCAACAGAAGATTCAGATATATATATAGATAGATAGATATTGCTATATGTATAAGTAAAGTGAGCAAGTCATGGTGCCCATAAAGGTGTTAAGTATAGATGAAAAATTTAAAAATATATTTGTAGGAAATGGTGATTTTAATGGTTATATAAACTGAAACATAAGATAGTATTAAGAAGTAGTACACCTATACCATAGAGTACCAGCAAAGCACAAGGAAAAATTAAAAGCACATGTAAGATATATGCTTGAGCAAGGAATTATACAGCAGAGGTTACACTAGCCTTTAAAAAATTGAGTTTCTTAAACACGTGCCACTTAAAAACCTGCAACCTCTGAAACACAATTTGCCTCTTCTTGTTGACATCAAGTTCTCCACTTTCCCATCTTCCATGTGACTTATTTGTGCATTTGTCAGGGGACTTCATAAGATCTACCTTACAGCCCAAAGCCAGATTTACTTTGGAAGCATAATGTGAAACCACAAATCCCATGGGTGAGGGGAGAGACGGGTGGGAATGTTTTTCATGGGTAAGTACCCATTTAAAATTAATTTTAGTTCTAAAAATGTAAAATTCAAAACAGGCAGACTTACCTGTGAAGCACACTTTACTGAATTACCCACACTAAAAATGAGTAGGAAACCAGAGAATATAAATATAAAGCACTCCACCAATACCACTTGATGGCTTGTGGAGTTGAGCATGCAAAATTAAAAGCAGAATACAGACATAACTATATAATGGGGGTTGAATCTGCATTTGGAAATTAACAAGAACTGATTCAGTGTTGTATAAAGACATTCACAAGAAGCATCCCCAGCAGGATACCTAGTCATCCAGGAAATTAGTACTTGCCCTACAAGATCCTACTAGGCTAAGCAGAATTATTATACCTGGGTTACCCCACTTCTTTAAGGGATGGTAAACAGGTGTGGCATTATAAAGAAAGAGGTATAGCTCTGCAAGATTCCAAAATCCTGTTTATTGGTGGAGTGAAATAAGACTGAACAACTCCAAGAATAGAGTTACTTTTACATCCATACAGAAAACAAAAAATGGCATACAAAATAATTTAGGCCACTAGCTAGCATAATCAGCAGGCACCTAGAGAAAATCAAATAATACTAAATGAACCTCAAAATGAGTTCTAGAATGGGAACATCACAGAGAAAAATGAGAATGACAAACCCAATCTGAGAGTGGAACCAAGAGACAGAATGGAGATTTGTAACAATATCACACCTTTCCTGTTATAATGCTATACATGTCATGCACATAGAGGTGGGAATACAGATATCTGCAAAGGCTTCATCAGCCAC